TTTCCAGAATTATTCTAACATGAAAACCCTAGTAATTGTTAGATGAATTTTGAAGGATTTCTGTGGAGAAGAATGCAAATTGTAAATTAAATTGTTAGATAATTTTAGAAGATTTAAAAAGGAGTTGTCAAAAACAAAACATTGCGAAAATTTTCTAAATTTCTAAATAAAATTTCGAAAGATTTCTGCTGTTTTGAATAGAGTTAAAAGAAATTTTTGAAAATATTTTCAAAGGAATCAAAGTCTCCGGATAGGTTTAAGGGAATTCTAAGAAGGGATTGCAAGGAAATTCCAAAAAAAATTCAACGGCAATTATTACGCGGAGTGTCTTCTGGTTTATTTCAGAACAATTTCAAGATAATTCAGAACAGAATTCCAATTTATTTCTGGAATTCATGTCATGAGAATTTTGAACAACGAAAAATTAAACCCCCGGAAAAGAATAATTCAGTTTCGGTTTTTACAAATATTTGTTTCGAAAGTCCAGCATCTTCAATATTTTCTTTTATGGACCATGCACTTTACATCTGAAATTGAGACGACAAAAATCAATTTTCAATATTGCTGAGTGATTAAATTCTAAAAACAATAACACGGGAAACTTACGAAAATTATGCAGCAAATAGAGCAAGACATTCATTTGACAAAGGATAACACTGTCTTAATGATTTATTCTGAAATTCTGGTGTAAAAATGTGTTCCTATGGTATGGTTAATTTATTTTCCCGGTTCTCTCACCGAATTCCCGGGCTTTTCCCGGTTTTCACGGTTACTTTTCAAATTCCCGGATATTTCCCGGTATTCCCGGTTTTCCCGGTTTGCTGGCCACCCTGCAAATACTATAAATGAACGAAAACCCAAATGGTTTGGATGATAACCCAAACACGTCGTTAACCATACAAATTTTATTAGGGTAGATAGGTAAAAGAATGATAAAGATTTTGAAGATTTCCTGCAAAAAGTTGGAACGCGATGCGAGTGGATCGATTTATTTAGATGCTTGAAATGAAAAATAAAAAAAAAAAAAGCTGGCGTGAGATGGTTCGAGCATATATGATTGAGATTTAGATGTGTTGACTCCCTCGAAACAAACCTTTTTTACTAAGTTGAATCAGTGGCGGTGCCCTATCCTCAATCTACCTGTTCAACAACTCTCTAATATAGCCGCTATATTCATAGTCTGGCGGATAGAATTTCGATCTCGGCGCCACCGGGATGTTCTGAGGCATAACATCTCTGATCACGCCTTCCTTCGGAAGGGAAGTAAAGCCGTGGGTCCCCGGTTCATGAGTTGATGGATCGATAGGTAGGGTCCAGGTGTGGGAGCTGCCTCCCTGGCGTCGGTAGCATTGGTGCTCAGCACGGAAAACAAACCAAGGAAGAATTTCGATCCTTCAAAAAGCGGAACCAATTCAATATATTGTAGACCAACAATTGAAAAGGTCCTATCAACTTTTATAATCAAAACGTTGATTATTCTTTCCTTGTCAATCGAACGCAAATTACCGGCATCTTCGAATAGGGGAAACTTTACTAAACCCAAAGATGTTGGTAATTTTCGTAGGCGAGCCTTGAGTCACAAATAAACGGTTTCCGAAGTTTTGTTCGCAATAGCTGATGTGCTCTTTTCTGTTTCTGTCGTGATTTGCTCGATTGGTTCCGCTTTATGACAGCTCAATTTGTTCCCGAGATTCTATCCGCCAGACTATGAATATAGCGACTATACTCTCAAAACGTAAACAAACAAAACAATATTGGTTCAAATGGATACAAATCAGTCAAACCCTGTGTCCTTTGAAACTGATTGGAATGTAAACATGACCCTAAATAACGTTTTCAAAGTTGTTGAGCAGGTAAAAAGTAAAGTTACGCGACGCCAATGAGTTGGATTTAGATTCATATCGCGAATAAGTTATTCGAATGAATTTCGGGATGTGAAAGATTAAACATACGAATACAGACAAGCAGACATAACACTCGCAAGTTGTTCATCGAACACGCATTTAACGGTCAATTTAAAAGTATCTTAGTTGGTAGTACCTCCACATGCGGCGCGCATAGTCAATTCCTTTGCGTTTGACGTTTACACACTACCGCCATCTGTTCAGCGTACTACCCACCACAGTGGACTCAGCAGATGGCGGTAATGTTTTAGCGACGATGTTTTACAGTGAGAAACATTCAATGTGTTATGTCTGTTTGTCTGTGATATAAATTTAATATGAAATCTCGCGTAACATTTGAATAGGGCCTATGTCCAAAATGTAAACAAACCGATTTTTGATACCATTCTGTAGCACTGGTAATTAGCTACCAGTCGTATAGGAATGTTCCGCATTATCGATAAAAATCATTAAAAATAACTTGATTTTAAAAACGGCCGATCCACCAAGTTTTTCCAATCATTCATGCTAAAACGGCCTAACCTCGGGCCTAACATATATTTTTTTTCGTTCGATGAGGTTCCATTCATAAGCCTAGCGACGTAGAAGGGCCGATGATTGAAAAATTTCAAATCAAAGCTAAGCCCTACTGCTTGAGGCAGGGCCGATGATTTATTTGACGTTAAGAAAAGGCTTAGCAAAGGGCCTACAATTCATGATGACAAGCACAACGGCTTAACAAAAAGGGCCTAACCATTTAAAGATTCACAAAAAGGCTTATTACTGTGATATTAAATTTTTATCGATTTTCATGTATTTTTGAAAACGTTTCGCATGTTTTGGATGTTGTGTACTGAGATATAGTTACTATTGTTATTGTGAACAATATAAATGCCTAAAATACTTCAATCTATTTATATAGGAATTAAATACTGGCGGAAAAATTTACAATTCATTTTCTGAACTGTTTACATTTTGGACATAGGCCCTTTTCAAATGTTACGCGAGAAATCTTGGCCGTCTTGTAGTCTGACTAAATTTTGACTAATTTATTACAAGCAATTGTTTATTGTTTACAAGTTTTGCTCGATTTAACGTGACATAATTAATGCATGGGCCCTAATAAATTTTAAAAACCAGTATCTTTGAAGTGTCTTGAGATATTGGCCTAGATTCCGTAGAAATTCTTATATGAGTTCTCTAAAAATGATTATAGGAACAACCTTGAAACTCTCCAAAGTATTCCTTTGAAATTTGCCCCAAACTTCTTTCAAATGCTCCTAAGAGTACTTTTGGAATTATCCTCAGAATTCTTTTCAGAATTCCCTTTGAATTCCTCTTCTCTTCTAATGCTACTTTATAAGTGCCTTGGAGTTCACTTTCAGTTCTTCTTACAAATACCTGAGAAAAATCTCTTCAAAATTATTTTGTTGTCTTAGTCAGCATTGCCTTCCCGCATAAACGCGAACCATAACTTGACCTTACCGAAAATGATTAAAAAATGGTTATAATCCCTGCTAAACTACTGAAATGGTTATGGAACTTTACATGAACGTTTGTGTGATTAAGGCTCTTTGGAAGTTGACCTTACAAATAATGGGTTGTTAAGAACCATTACCATTCAAAATAGTTGTTTTCTCCATACATTTTCGGACTATATGAGAACCTTTATACTTATGATTTGATAACTTTAATGGTAATGGTTATGGTAACCAGTAAGGTCCATTAATGGTTTTGTATTATCGGTCAACTTTACGTGGAATTTCCTGAATACTCCACATTTGTTTGCCGGTTTCCCTGAAAATTCCAGGTGTTTCCAGGTAAAACAAAATTTCATGAAGATTCTAGAACATTCAGGATTTCCCAGATAGTAGACACCCTCCTGTTGTTGCTACACACAACGTTATCGATTTTAAATTAGATCTTAATCGGCTTCTTAAAAGTTGCAGCCTCAAGCGACCATCAGTTTCAACTGTAAAACTTCTGGTACATTTCTTCAAAAGCCCTGTAGCTTGAGGTATCATAAAAAAGAAGTTTCATAATGAAACTTAAGATGTGATGATCGAAGATTAACAAATAAACAGCTACACATGCGTTTCAGTGATTATGTTCTATTCATCTCCACTAGGTACTGGAGATTTCACCTGACGCTGTGTAGCAACTTAACGTTTAACTAATCTATACTTCCTGATAGATTCTAACGTGTTTTAGAACAAATTTTCCCTTCTGTCCAGTCTTTGTTTGCTCAAGTGACCTCCAAAGCGGCACTCGATAAACAAACACGAATAATAATAAATTCTGATAGTGTTCGCGCCCTACACGCTTAAAAATAGAAGATAACTGACTCTGTTGTTATGTCACACACCTTTGCACAAACACGCACGCACTGATCTGTCCGTTACGTCGCGCGAGTTCAAATCAGTCCAACACACTCTCACACTACTACTCACGCACACCACCATAGGTAAGCAAGTCCCAAGTTTTCTGCGCCGCTACATCACGATGACCGTCATTAGCCAGCATGATAAGTGCAATTCATGCAAACAATAGATTATCGCACAGTGCCTCCCAAGACCCCAAGCCTTGCACGCCCACTAATTCCAACCACAATAATTCGCGCCTTGCCTACTCTTCGTTCGGATCGATGATTAGCATCGCGTCATTCGAAAATTTTCTTCATTTTTACACGCATCCATTCACACACACACACTCACCCGCCATCCGTTGCTCGCTCGCTTGATGGCACCAACACCACCGTATGCGCACTTTACCGTCGAAAATCGTTCCCAAGGCAAGAGGGAAAAATGGAAGCGAAACTAGCGCTACTGCAGCAAAAACCATTCTGGGGGAAAATGCTTCAAGGGAACCTTCCATCATCGATCGCTTCTACGGGGACTACACCAACAATCCGATTCTCGCCACGACGCACTATTTCCTGAATGAACGGGAAAAAAAAAACCACGCCAAATCTTGCTCACGCACATTCCTGCTGGCCCCTTCCGGGAAGCGAAGCGCAAAAAGAAGGTTCCCTTTTTCATCATTTTTTCGCCTCCCGCTCGAAATCCCAACCAAGCGCGATGACGATATCGAAAAAATCCACTACCGTGCGCTACTTACCGGCGTTTTCACTTCAGCTTCCGCCGGGGCTGGTGCAGCCGCTGCTGGGGCCACTGACTCCGTAGTAATCGAATCCGACATCCTTCTGTTCCGATGAAATCCTTTAGCTGACGCTTTCACAATTGGAGAGTTCCGTGTATTTCGGATCCGCGCTTTGCACCAGGGTCAAAATAACATAAAACGTATCGCGAACGCGCTCTTTGTAGGCTACCACCAAAATCTCGCGCACACACCGTCGTCGTCGTACAGTTTGTTCTCTGTGGCGAGGCAGTCGAACGAAAAAGCAAACTCAACCCCAAAAGCAGACCAAACTCTTCTGACTTTGGCGGGTCTGGATGCTGGCTCTCGCTCACGCTCGCACGATTTTGACGAAACGTTATTGGTGTCCTACTTACTCGTTCGATGACCGGGCCAGGTCATTTCAGTGAGATAGAGCGAGAAAGAGATTGGCAAACAAGATGCGCACACCAAGCCGGGAGAATCTTAACGAAAGTTTGACGAACAAAATGGACGTCGTGCCCGCGCCAAAGCGACGCTGCAATGCACGCTACTTCAAAACAAACCACATTTGAGTAGGATCCACCCAGATTTGTCAAAACTTAACCTACCCAAAAGTGGGAAAACTATGTTGGGAGTGACAAGTTGACAAATGGTCAACCCTGTCCTGAATCCGATCGATGTTTTTCATTCGTCAACTTGTCACTCTCAACTTAGTATACCTATTTTTGATTTGGTTCAGTTTTGACCGATCTGGGTGGATCCAACTCAAATGTGAGTTGTTTTGAAATAGTGTGTATACCGTCACGCATGCGTGACGATCCGGTGACGATGTACACGGCCGTTGAATCCAACTCTGAAATTGAGTCACCGACAAAGCGACGTGAAACTTAAATTCCACTTTTGCACAAAAGTCTATAATGGCCGAGATAATGGCCTGTTTATAGATCTAAATGAAGTGAAAATCTCATAAAATACTCGATTTTTCACCAGCGTGATAAATGTAATTCACAAAGGGATGCATCAGATACAGTGAAATCGAATAGCGTGGATAGCATCTTTTTCACTTACATTTACGTAATCGAGTAAACGAGAGGCACTGATAAACAGACAAAACACTCGTAAGTCAATTTCAACTTTTCTTAGTAATAAAAATTTTGCTAATTTAAATCAAAAGTATAAATGTTTATACCTACTCTAAACCAAATAATTATTCAAAGTAAATTGATAGCATGTTTAAAACTAAAATACTAATATTTGAATTTAATTCAAAAGCATGTTTTCTCTTATAACATACTCGAACGATAACCCAAATGATAGCACTATTTCACAAATGGTTTGGATGATACTATGAATACGTCGTTAAGCAAAATAACCATATAAATTTTATTAGGGTTCCCAAGTAACCAACAAGCCACTAATCGCCCTTTTTGCATTATAAAGCTGATATATCCCAACAAACAATTCAGAGTTACAAATAAGCATATAGATTGAATAAATGGTTTGTAACAGTGTACAATGCTGAATAAAACGCGTTGTCAAATTATGTGCTTAAAAAAAACCTCATTGAGATCGATGATGCGCCTTTATTTCGCTGATTGCTCTGATTTGATTAATATACATATTAAAATCTATACAAACGATGACTGTCTTCCAGATTCAACACCAGATGTTTGATCTAATAACATACTGAGTAAGTGGAATTTGCACATACATTGACGCTTTAATTCGACTGTTTTAAATTGATTTAATAACATGCTTTATTATAGGGTTAACTACCCCATTTCCGGCCTATTAAGCACAATCCGCACTTTGTCTTTCTTAATCTAGTGCAGTTTAGCACCAAACGGAAATTTTATTACTGATGGTTTCCCAATTTATTTACCTTTCCGTACGTACCGTAAGATTTGATAAAGAGAAACCAATCTTTGAGATATTGTCAAAAGTCTAACACTGCTTCTTGACGCCAAAGTCGGTCTACGGATTCTAAACTCGGCTTAACGCATTGAAAGGCCAATGAATTCACTTCGGCCTATCGGATGAAGATAAAAATGGATTCGGTCGGAACGCTTCTTTTGTTCTTGGGAATAATGGGTGCAAACCTTCATATCACACGTTCTCATTGACTTCGTTCGGTAGCTTATTAACTAAAGTATCATACCAAACGCATAATTGACTTGTTAGCTCTGAAATCATGGATTTATTTGAAGTTTTCTGCTCGATAGGCCCAAAATGGGCGACTAGGCCGAAGTAGTTCTCTACCCTACGTCTAATAATTGTTTTCAAGCTGCTTACCAATATTACAGAATAAAGGTGAATACAGTCAGCATAATAGCTCTTATACCACTATGCGTCCATGTTTTATTTGCATGCTTTGTAAATGCTTTACAAACGGCGTATTCACATTATTCCACAACACTGTTTCAGGCTAACAATAAAACGAAATTGGTAGCAAAGTGGTAACCGTTTCCGCTTTCCAAGTAGAAGGTCACGAGTTCAATCCCAACATCAACCCTTTTTTTTATTTATTTTCTACACCTGATTAATTTAAATCGTAATCATAGATCGTCTCACTCACGACAACCAATTCATAGATCTATCGAAAAGAATAGCATCCTTTCCATCGAAATTAGAGAGATGGAGAGGTAACGTTGGAAATAATCATGCAATATTTCTCACTGTAAAACATCGTAGCTAAAACATTACCGCCATCTGTTGAATACACTGTGGTGGGTACACAGCAAAAAAAAAAGTAATATCGATCAATGTAATTCAAGCTGATATATGAAATAATGATGTAATAGCAAAAAGCAGATACAATATTACATCATGGGATGTAATTTTGTTCGCAAAATCGATTTACATCGTACAACGTTATATTACACAATTGATGGATTGACCTGGTTGCAGCAGTTTGGATGTAAAATTCATCAACATTTTTTCTGTGTAGTACGCTGAACAGATGGCGGTAGAGTGTAAACGTCAAACTCAAGGGAAATGACTATGCGCGCCACAGGTGGCAGTACTACCAACTACGATACTTTTAAATTGACCGTTAAATGCTTGTTCGATGAACAACCTGCGAGTGTTATGTCTGTTTGTCTGTGACACAACAATCACTAACGAGAACAACCCTGCTCTGTCCCGTTCTTATTTTCGGATTAATTATCCCGTAGTTGAATAATCGTTTCATAAATGAATAATAGTGTCACATTAAACATTAATTCGCATGAGAATCCAGCGTCTATATACACCTTTATACCAACCGGTGAACACTCGTGTTTATTTCAGTCACCATGGAGACGTAGTTTGTGATTAGCCCCGGTCCCTTTCAAATTGTATCATTATTTATGAACGGCTTTATATTTGAAATGACGTTTCACATTCATCTAGTGATGTCCGATTTTCATTCGAATAATCGTTTAATCGATTAACGAACCGAAAAGTAAACTATTTATAATCGGTTAGATCATGCCGATATAAGCATTAACATCTCCACAGGATCATCACCGATCGTTTCAAACATGTGCTGCACTCTCTCTGGTGGAAAAATGGCAGCACAGCGAACAAAAAATAATCGATTAGTTGTTAATCGAGTAATTAAAAAATGTGACATCTCTGATTTTGGTAATTGTTTTGATAAAAATGAGCGCAAAATTTCATCTCTTCCGAGGGGGCAGCAAAACCACAAAATTACCTTGAATACGGGGGGTTCTCATTGGATGAAAGGGACCGTGAAAGAAGACACTAAAATAGAAAGTTTTTCTTCCGACAGTTTCATCTTAGTATTCATCTTTGTTTATACCATCATTGTTTAAGGAAGTAATGAATGCTGAATAATCAAAATTTGATCGAATAAGCTCTATTATAACTTTTGTAAGTCGAATAAAAGCTTCTCGACATACTTTATTCAACACCAAATATTTCGATGTTGTGGTTGAATAAATTCTCCAGATTTGTGTGAACAAAGCCTGAACAGAAGTTATTATAAAAAATAGTAAAGTATTATTAAGCATGAAGTGGAATAAAATCGTCAAGAAGTCGTTTCTTCAATGGGCTATAGTGTGTTTCATTCTGGAAAAAGATTGCTATTTTTGATAGGCCACCCCCTAGTTTAGTTCATAACACAAAAACAAACATCTGTGCAAAGAATCAGCTAAATTGGTCAACGTTAGAGGTCGCGCCAACGATTTCAATTTTGTTTAAATCTGTCAAAGCATACTATGAAATATGCCCTATCAGCATATCTGCTTTTCTGCTCAAATCAAGGTTTATCTGCAATCTGAGTTTCGAAAGCCAATTTCTGTTTTCTGAAGCATCAAATCCACTTGCAGTCTTGAACAAAGTTGTTTACTATAGTTTTAAGTATAACATATTTAAATTTCATGCAAATCGGTTCATTAGGAAAAAAAAGTTAGAATGATTTTAGTGGGTCATCATTTTCTCCCATACTAATTTGACGAAAATCCCGAACGTTGACCAATTTAGCTGATTCTTTGCACAGATTTTTGTATTTGTTTTATGAACTGAACTAAGGCGTGGCCTAGGTCTGCACCATTTTTTTCCATTAAAATTTTTTGTTGGAACCAATTGCATCAAACTTTGATTTCATTTCATAACGTATGAGGAAAAAAACGACCGCACAAATTTGGAGTTTGATGCATACAGTTTAAAGCAGCAACATTTTCCAACAATTGTCCTGGTTTATATCCAAGTATTGCAAATCTTAAGCAGCTGTCAAAGTTCTACCAACCGGTGAACACTCGTGTTTATTTCAGTTACCGTGTGGACGTAATTTGTGATTAGCCCCGGTCCCTTTCAAATTGTATCATTATTTATGTACGGTCCTTATATTTGAAATGACGTTTCACATTCATCTAGTGATGGCCGATTTTCACTCGAATAATCGATTAATCGATTAACGAACCGAAAAGTAAAATATTTGTAATCGGTTATATAATGCCGATATAAGCATTAACTTCTCCAGAGGATCATCACCGATTGTTTTAAACGTGTGTTGCACTTTCATTGGTGGAACAAAATACAACACAGCCAACAAAAAATAATCGGTTAGTTGTTAATCGAGTAATTAAAAAATGGGACATCTCTGATTTCGGTGTGATTGTTTTGATAAAAAAAAAGTGCGGCAAATTTCATCTCTACCGAGGGGGCAGCAAAACCACAAAATTACCTTGCATACGGGGGGTATTCATTGGATGAAAGGGACCGTGAAAGAGGACACTAAAATAGAAAGTTTTTCTTCCGACAGTTTCATCTTAGTAT